TACTTTCTTACACAGACACCAACAGAACTATAGTTTTTAGAGTTAACCGAGTCTTATTTGTCCATCACAACTTTCCACAGTTTAAGCAAGTATTGTTTTTATTTTTAAAGTGAAAATAAACAAAAACAATCTTAAAGATGAAAAAAAATAAAAATCTCAACTAAAGTATGGACTTGTGGAGCTAAAGGAGGCTTATCTGTCACGAGAACATGCAGCAGAACAATGGACAGCCGCACTGACAGGAGCTGTGGTTGGCTGTTTCTCCGCCCTTTGACCAGCTGCTGAAGGTGTTTACTCAGAACAGACCTCTCTATGAGCATCAGCCACCGGATATAAACCCTGTGGGCCGCAAGAGACTTCAGCAGGCTGAATGAGGTCTTGCAAACAGATATCATTAAGTGATTACTATATAATAATTAAATCAGAATATATAGAGAAAATTAGTTCTTTAGGTACAACTTTATCCATCAAAGTTTGAAAAATTAAGTGATGCACTGCTCATTACAACTAACCCTAGTTTGTGTTTTGTGGTCATTTTTTGCATTATATTCAGACATGCTGCAAGTCCATCAGCTGCTGCACATATTGCATCAACCGGAGAAGAAAGTGAGCTTCATGGCCAGCCTCTGTGGGCTCAGTTGCTTTGCAGCTTTTTCAGATGCAAGTAAAAGTTAGAGTAATTGAAGTGTACATGTATTTCTCTTTTATCTAAGAAAGAGCAGCATAAGGTCTGCTTTTCATGATGAAAGTGGAAAGTAAAACAGTAAGAAAAGCCCCTTTGTTTTCTCACCCTTCTTTGAGAGCCAAACCACAGTGGTGCATAAGTTTCCATGCATCGTTTGTTTCTCAGCAGTTCGTGTGAATTTCTTTGCCTCTCTCTGTTAACAAATGTGTTAACAAATGTGCATGCTAAGCCACGGTACTAAGAACAAAGAGCCATACTTAATAAACTTTGGTTATTGTTTTATTTTTAGAAGACATCTTACTCTGTCTCTTCTATGAATAAGTATTGTTGAGGATGGAAATCCTAATTGACGAATCAAAATTTGTACTGACACAAGGAGCATAAAATCAGCCAACAGTATCATTCAGACTTTACTTGTTTTATTCACTTTCAGCGCTGAAAGGAGACGCGTTTACCATTACATTCGAGAAGAGTATCTAAAAAAGTCTGTGCAGCGTCTGAGGAGAAGGAGGAGGCTAGCTGATCATATGGACTGAAGACACTCCCTGAAATCACACCATGTCTCTGTGGCCTGATAAGTTTCTGTTTTCTGAGAAATGGGCCTTAGCGTCTAACCGAATCAAAAATGTAACTCTTTACAATGGGCCTTTTGTCTAACAACATGTAACTCTTTCTTGACCTTGGTAAAGCGTCTCAACAGTATGGACAGCTTGGAGTATGGCATAATTTGGCAGAAGATTATTAATAATATGTTAACTTTGCAGTCTAATGCATGTGTTTGTACATGGAACTAGGAGGGTCTAAAACCAATGCCGCACAGTGAACTCTGCATCTTGCAAGTCCTTAGCTGCTGTCACACAACAGAAGTTGTGGTTTTGTGCTGCTAAGTTACTCTGCTGTCAGACCAACATATTTTTGGCTTGTGGTCAACAGTATATTGACTCAGTTGATAGTCGCAAACCAAAGCGTTCCAGTCAAAAACAGCATTGTTTATCAGTTATTAGTGTTCTACGATTGATGCAGACTTGTTGCAACTGTAGCAGTGAGAAGACTACATTTTTAAGACATCATCTACATAGTATTAGATCGTACAAGGGATGTCCTAATCCAGTATCGGTCTAGCAATTTTTAATCGGAGTTGACTCCACCTATTTTGGGTCATTTGTAGGTGATGCCCTCAGCAATGTTAAATTCAATCTGGTGTGTTGTACAGGCATTTTTTTTCACTGAATATTTTGATGTGTAGAACTTGAAAACTTTTATTTTAGGCCGGCCATCATCTTTTATTGACATAACACATTTCAGGTTTTAGGAACTAAGTGTTTTCTTAAGTGTTCATATTGAAAGGGACTGTACTGACTGCTCAGTGTGTCTGTATAATCCACTCTACACTGAGCTCCAATATTCTTGGACACCCTGACAGCGTTTTTCACTCTGACAGCGTTTTTCATGCAGGACAAGAGGTCTCAGGTGTTTCCCTTCACCCACACACATGGATTGAATCGGTGGGTGATTTAGCAGACTTCTGCAGTACTTGATGGCTGTAGAAGAGGTCATGCAATCATTTGGGTCAGCAGTTCTGGAATAGAGATGTATCCAAAACATGCAGAGCAGGAGGACCGGAGGACTGGACTTGAGAAGCACAAAAGAGAGAGAGAGAGAGAGAGAGAGAGAGAGCGAGAGAGAGAGAGCTGTGCAGAGATCATCTTAAAAACCAGTCCAAACATTCTTCAAATCTTTATTTTATGAAGTAGTGACTTTTCCTGTAAGTTATGTCTAAACTGAAACTGCACTAAATTACAAGCTAAAAAATTAACAATGAGTCACAACAAAGTTGGTAAAAGTTTATATGCTTAATGCTAGCCTTGCGCATTAGCAAATTTCTTCATGCAAAAAAACAAAAGAGAACAACATGAGGCTAAGGACTAGCAGTGTGTTTTAAATCACATAGGGCAGACCTTTAGGACCATAGCAATGTTTCAATTTGTTGCCAAAACATTAGTAATAGTATTTTTCTAATAAAGTCACCATGTTGCAGCAGGATGTTCTGGGTGTCCTGTTGAATCTCTGTGACAAAGTATTAGCAGCCAATACAGCAACATTGTGAGAGTGGAATTAGTATTAATTGCAATACGACTTTGCATTGCAAATATCTATCCTGAAATTGTTCTGATCGTTTTTAGATACAAAAATGTCCTGCTTAGGACATTATACATTTTACATTATACATTATTTAATCTTCAACCCGTTTGTCTACTTGAGTTGGACAATTACACCAATGCTGTAAATTTTAACTATTGAGTTAGTTATATTATGCTACAATTAAAACTAAATATCAAAATCCACAATAAGGCTGAAATAGTAACAATAAGTTTATTGTTAGCCAAGCAGCCAGTGGCTGTTATTATGTGAACCTCTTCTTCCATTTATTTATTTTTTTTTACTTCCTTTTTATTCTTTTTACAGAAGTGCATACCATATACTAACAATATTTCCCACTTAGAAATGTTGTGACATTTACATGTCTCAAGTTCTCAAAATTAATTTGTAGTCAAAAATTAAGTAAATATGAGAAAATTCAGTTTTCAACTTTTCAACTCAGAGGCAATAAAGTAGGGAAAATAAACTCTCCAACCTGAAGAAAGCAAAATAATATTCCTACAAAAAAGGGAACATTTATTTTTCAAAAGAATAAAATAAATATAAATAAATTATATATGAAAAGTGCAAAGCCTCTTTGTATGTCAACACTGAAAGATGTCGTCTCATCCAGCTAAACTTTGAACAACATCTTATAACGACATTCTAAGATGCTTCATCTTATGGACATATCAATGTTAAAAGATATGTCCAGACATTTTTGTAGCAATTAAGCCTAAAAATACCATGAAAGTGATATCTGTTCTACTGACAAACTGGATAGAAGGGATGAAGCTTTGTGCACGTTGGGTGTTGGGCCCAGAGCAAAATGCATCATTCTTGAAGGCTTCCTGTGATGACATGTGTTAAGTAATCACATCGTAACTGAATCATATAAACTACAACTTCTCAAACATGAGGTTGTCCGATAGAAACTGTGGTGTGTTTTATCAATTGCATCAATAATATTTTAAAATATAATGCTTCCACTAATATCATCATTTAGGATTAATGCCTTTGTTATGCTAATGTTTTATTTTCTTGTGCATATTGTGAAATAAGATGTGAAGGGATTGGAACAAATTATTATTTCTTTACGTTTAATGATGAAAGATATTTTCTCACGCACGTTTTAAAGATAGCTGTTTTTTTTTATAGATAAATTAAATTTGTACAAACCTCAAAGTTCTTATTGCCATGACACATTGAGGAAAATCCCATGTGTCACAGTTATTAAGAATTACTTAAGTTTATTACACACGCGGTATTTTTTGAAAGAAAGACAACATGTGAAGAACAATAATCTGTGGAATTGTTTTGTTAAAGGAAAATTTTAGAAATTCAGTCTGCATACAGGCAGCCCCATACAAAGTGAAAAGTCTTTCATAAAAATGCTATTTTAGTCAGTGGAAAAGTGAAGTTCAAGAGTAGGTCTTTTCACTAACTTAATCATAATGTGGCACCAACGACTGAGCCTCCTTAAAGATGACTCAACTTCTCACAACATTTCAATTTAGTCACCCTCGTTTTGCTCCGATATGTAACACCAAAGTCGGCATCATGGAACCTCAAAGCGACAGCAGAACAGTCAGTCGCATGAGAATGTTGCTCAAACTGTCAGCAACCCCCCCCCCCCACCCTCCCCGTCTCACACATATTTGGACAAACTCAGCTCATTTTGTGAAGTTGCAGTCATGACTGGCAGGAGTCTTCATACAGGTAAAAACAGAAAAACAAGGTTGCAAAATGTTTTGGGGCTTTATTACTAGTTTGCCTACAAGAGGCTGAACAGCAAGTTAGTATATATTTGAGAAATTACCTTTTAGACAAACTTTCTTTTTTTTTTTCTTTTGCTTGCTTTAGAGCGTTTTGGTTTACACTGAAAGTGAAGAAAAGATGAGATGAAAAAATCTAAATGCCATGCGAGCATAAACTGAGCTTTTGAGCTTTTTATAACCATGTCTGACATAAAACCACAATGAGAATCTACCTTGAAATGACAGCAGCTTACTGATGTTTTTGTTTAGTGCTTTTGTGTCTGAGAGATCTCACCTTATTTCCATTGTGGTAGAAAAGGAAAAAGGGCAACAAGATTGTTCTAAATTTCAGCCAATCAAGTGTCCCTAAAACTGGCTCCTCCCAGTTTATATGGTCACATTTAGTTGAATCATAGCTAATAAGGTCACAGAATCACAGCAATCTTCTGTTGGATCACCAGAAAACAATGCTTTTCATTTATTTACTCCTGATGCTCAAAGATGGTCGTAAGTTAACTCCTCAGATTTAATCCACGTTTCACTTCATGTTTCTTTATCTGCTGTTTAAAACAGATTTTTTTTATGGCTGTTTAGGTTGTAAAGATAGTCCCATTATTGAAACAAAGACTGTAAATGTTGGAGGACTTGTGAAGATGACATGCTCACGCAAGTCTGCTGGAGAAATAATTTGGATGAGGATAGATTCTCAAAATTCTCCTGAAATTCTTGGGAAAACTGAGAAAATGTATCCTCATATTAAATTTGAGACAGATCCTGGAATATGGGTGTTAAAGATAATTAATGCAAGTCTAAATGATTCTGGAATTTATTTCTGTCTCAGAAAATATCAGGAAAACAAGACATTTATGAAACTGACATATCTGACAGTTAAAGGTAAGTTAATAGAAAAAATGTCCATGATATTGTATGAATTGAGTTTTTTTCTATGCAAATGTTTCTAAGCTATTTTAGTGTTTCTAAAAAAAAATATTTTATTTCTGTGAAACTAGAATCTGCTGTCACCACAGTCCCCACATCTGTTCCAGCCCATCTCCATGACTCAGTGACTCTCCATTGTTCAGTCCTCCGTGACTCTCAAAATAAATCATGTCCTGAAGATGAAAATTTCCTCTGTTTTAGAGATGAATCGATTCAGACTTTTCCAGGTTTCAACTCCACTGACATTACTGAGGAAAGCGGATTCAAATTTAACTCTGAAGGATGTTTCTACAGCTATTTCAAGAACTTCAGCTTGTCTGATGCTCAGATGTATCACTGTGCTGTGGTAAAGGATGACAAGAACACATCTATAGAAAAATCAAAGAATATCACTGAAGGTAATCTATCTTTCATAACACTGAAAGTGAAATATTAAATGACTTCAATGAATCTTTGAATACAGAACTTCCTGTTTTGTTATTTCATGTCAGTAGAAAACAAAGGAGATTCAAGAAATTACTATACAGTTGCCTGTCTACTGAGTGCTGCGTTGGCCATCTGTCTGGCTATTATAGCCTTCCTCTTATACGTAATTATAGAAATTAATAAACAGTTAAAAGGTTCGCGCAATGGTAAGTAGTCTCAAATACTGATGTATAAAAAATGAGCTGGAAAACTTGACCAAACTTTTTAAATGGTTTTTTTTTTTTTTTTTTTTTTCAACTTAGACACAGTTGCACTCCACGTACATGAACCAACCAAAGGAAATCCAGAAAGTCAGAAGGTAATAAATACAAATAGAACTTGATATTAGGAAGCAAAATTATGTGTTTTATGTTTGTTTTTTTCTGTGTGCTCAGTCACATGAGGACTTGATTTATTCATCAGTTTCAACAAAAAGAAAAGCCAGCAAAAAAAGAACAGGGGCCACAGCATCTGAAGAGCAAGACGTCATCTACACAGAAGTTAATGTTCTTGGGGTGTGAAAAAGCTAATTTATACATTTCTGATTATTATCTAAAGACTAATTTTAAAATGCACTTTATTTTTTTGCAAAAATGTATTGATATTTTGTATGTCTGTACTGTTATTCTGCCCTCATTTGCTTAAAAGAAAAATATGTCTGTACTTGTATAAGCTCTTAGTAAATAAAATACATAAAAGTAATTATCATTTGTGTGTTTTTATTATTTATATAGTTTCTTTATACTTAAGCGGACTTTTGAAGCATTGTTTTAGAAAGTATAACAGTACCATTAAAGTGCAAGTCTTAACTTTACATATGCTGTTTCAAAACTTAAGGTTTATTTAAATTTTAGCCGCTGTGTTGCTTGTTTGCTTAGTATGTCCTGTTAGATGATTGAATTTCAGTCAGGCTTTAGTTATATACATTTTCATGGTTACTTAAAAGACTGAAAGCTGCCCTGGTCCATACACAGTAAAACAAATCAAATTAAAATACTCAACTAATATGCTTAAAAGACTATTTCAGTATTAATGCACCGTGGTTTCCTTTTCCCCAAATTTTCACAATAATATAGAAATTCATCCTTACTCTTAACTCTATGCTTGCATTTAAAGTTTTCAGACTTTAAATACAAGTCTGAAAACTTAAATTGTGTTCTTTTACAGAAATGAAAAAACACAGTCAGAATTATTCAAAGTTACAAGGATGACCATCTGGATAACTCTCAGTGTTTGGTTTTATTAGGGAGGCTTCAGGCTTTTACATAAAACACAGCAAGCCAGAGATCAGATGCTTTCAGAGTAGTTTCTGAAAATACCAAGGCAGCGTGAGGGATTGAGGTAGACCAGTCACTGGCAAAAGCCTTACCTGTCAGAAATCTCAAGAGCCCTGTGACAGACAGCCAATGAAAGGCTGAGCAGACTTTGAAGCTTTGTGGGTTTATTCAGGAAGCAGCTGTAACACAGTGACAGGTGTGAGAGGTATAGAATAAGACAAATCTGACATTGAATTTGATGCTTATTCTTGTCTTTTGCTTTACACAATGACAGTGAGAGTGTTGCAATAGTATAAAAATATTTCCATGGTCAAAAAATCAAAACTGCTTAAAGGAAAATTAGCTATAAAATTGTATCTTATCTATTTACAAACTTTATAAATACTTCTAGCATATCTATATAGAGAGGTGCATTAATACCACCCTCTTCAACCCAACCACAGTATGAATCATGAAAACTATTAACATCAGTTTATCAAGTTTATACTAGACAATGCCTCTGCATAGCAATCAATCCTAAAACATTATCCAGAGTGGAATACCACAATTTACTCATTGAATAATGTGCACTTTTGATTCTGCATGGCTTTGTTTATCTAAGTTTTTAAGCAACAGTGGTGCAAAGATAATCATGTTTCAGACTTATTCAATCAACAAAGAAGCCCAAGATCTCACTAGATTGACTGGAGATTTACGAGTGGCCACACCTTAACACAGTGGTTTTGCAGCTGCATGACAGTCACATGGAAGAAGTTTTGACTAGAGGGGATAAATAATGAAACTCAGGATAGTGGGCAAAGGAGAATAGATATTACCAACTAGGTAATGCAGGTAGCTTCATGTTTGTTGAATTGCTTTCCAAACTGCATTTTCCAGGAAATACTTTGAAGACATCACACTACACCGTTTT